AGATACAGAATGTGGGGAACTATTGCAGTCTCCATATCTTCGTTTAAAACTGTTGCCAGGGAGCCCAAATGTTTTTTTGCTTCAACGGCAATTTTATTTTTATTACCTGCTCGACGCCGTAGTGTTGAGAACGGTACATGAAATGTATTGCTTGCTTTAAGCCAACCCATTTCGGAATTTCGGACTGCCTCCAAAGCTCTTTGCATGTCTTCCTCACTCCAACTATTTCTGTTAGAATTCCTTTTATATGAATAAACCATCTGTTTCTTAAACAGATGCATCTTTAAATCCTTAAATGGCATAGTATGTTATTTTGCCCGCCATAATGTTATGCCATTTTGCCCGTATTGTATTTGCCTACTATGATAGTTGAAAAAAAAAAATAATAAATGGAAATAAACACAATTTTTATTTAAGGTCACATGCAGCATATAAAACATAATTACCAAACAGTGAATTCAAAAAGCTCTATAATCTTAATTTAATAAATTATTGAATAAAACTTACATTGATGCATCGAACTCGACCAGCACTTATTAACAAATACACCAATCTCGTGGCCGGCCGTTAAATTAGGTGCACGAGACTGAATGTGGACAGTGTTGCCACTGTTTATAATAAGTATCCAGAATTGCGGTGATGTAGAACCGTTAGCTTGACTACGAGAACAAAAAACCATTTTGCCCGCCTATGTCATTTTACCCGCCTTTCCACTATGCCTTTCTCAATTTTTAAAATCTTGCAGTTTTCACATATTGCTCTTTAATAATAACGAAAACCGGTCCCTAGGGACCAGTAACGCAGTCAACACGTTAAGACCAATATCGCTTAATTCTTGCAGTTGGTGGTGTTTCCTTCTTCTTTGATTCGTTCCTCCTGCATTTAGATGAAGTTGCCGGTAACGACGAAAAAATAATTTTAGTTTATGAAAAGTTGAGAAACTGCAATATTCCCTTTTGTTAGACATTAAACATGTTAAACACTTCATTACTAATAATACATTTACGTACTATTAAATTATACTCAATGACATTAGAAGTGTTACACCCAGTAGGAATAATTAATGGGTTCAGTTCAAGGGTTACACCCTTGAACTTAATTTTTTGGCAACAGAATGACTAGATTTAAAACATGATATGATACCAATACCAATGTTTTATCCTTTCTACTTTTTGTAAAAGTAAAATCTTATCTTTAATTTTTTGTGTGAAGACACTGATTTATGAAAACCGGTTCGTATAGAAATTTTTAGTTATTATTCTTCAGTCTAATTTTATTCAGTGTAAGGAAGTGCCTCGAGTTCGAAGAAACCAATATTACTACCATGCTAGCGATTTTAACGGGGGTACTAGGGGTACGGGGGTAACGGGGAAAAATCGCACCGGAATTCATAGCGGAATCGTGAATGACCCCATACCAAAAACGAATATATTCGCATATCAGTCACGTCCAGTATCGGAAACGTTGAGTGAAAAAACAAATAACGATTATCAATTTTAATTGCTAAAAAATGTATTCCTCATCAGATGAAGAAGAAGCACTCGCAATGTTTGCACTAGAAGATGAAAATTTGAGGTAAAATAATTACTAGCTTTTTCTGAAAATACCGACATTGATAATTTTATGATTCCAACTTTATAGGAAAAGAAGAAAATGGTTTCACGATATCAACCTTTAAAGAAGAGAATATTGCGAATTTCATGCATTAATGCCAGAATTACAAAGAGATGAAAAAAGATTCTATATTTATTTTAGAAGGCCAATAAATTGTTTTGATGAACTTTGGCATCTTATAGAAAATGATATACGAAAATCAGACAAAAATTATGGAGAAGCGATTTCCCCTGAAGAGCGATTAGCCATTACATTGAGGTAAGAACAAGAAAAATATTAAACTATTTTAAATAATAAGTAAATGCAATTTAATCAACATATAATAATAAAATTCGTTTCTCATCAAAATATTGAGTCATAGCACCAGTCCTTGTATTTAGGAAAAAAATGGATTTATTTGTTGTACGGGTTAAATGAGTGGAGGTAGTTTAAAGCAGAGGATGGATCTTGTAGTGACGCTGATTGGTAGCTAACATAATCTTCCTTGTTAATAAAAGCAGAGGACAGACTCTGCAGTGACGATTATTGGTAGCTAACATAATCTTCCTTGTTGGTAGAAGCAAAGGGTGGACCCTGCAGTGACGCTGATTGGTAGCTATAATCTTCCTTGTTGGTAAGGTTAATAAAATCATTTTCTTCTTTTATATCGGTAAAATCTGTTTCAACGGAAGAGACGTTTGGATAAGTATCTGCACTTGCAGATCTAGATTGATTCGTAGAACATTTCTCTAATTGAAGAAGCTCCTGTTCCATGATGACTTGCGCAATTTTCATTTTTGTTTCTATTTGTCTTCTAGGAGAGAAAGTTTTTAAGGTACAAGCGTGAGCCAAAAAAAGTTGATCGATTGCATCGTAACTGACTTTTTTTGCCTTCAAAATAAGTTGTCATTTCTTTCACAGCTGTGGATGGTTGAGAATGGCGTTTTCTGTTTTCTTTGGTGGCAATGGGAGTTTTACGCTACCTTTAAGACCCCCAAATGACCTAAGTGTAACTGCTGAGGGTTGAACCTGAATAATATCGGTGTTCGTTCCTGAATTGTTTGATTGAGTGTCTTGTGAACTAGATGATTGTGCTCTCCCAATTTCATTCTTAAAAGACTCTACATTTGTCAATTCTGTATATTCTGGTACTCGGACATCGCTAACGTTAGATGTGGTTTTTGCAAAACTTAAGAATGGGTTAAATGCTTCCATCTGATCTGCCCATATCCATTTTTTCGTAGAATTTGCGTCCTGTCCAGTTTTAGTTTTGCTGGTTCTGATATACTTGGCATACCTATCTCGCAAATTTCTCCATTTTTTCTTTATCTCATCCCCTAAAAAAAAATATTTTTAACCGGAGATTCATTCTATACAATTGGGCATAGTTTTAGAGTTGGTTTCTCGACGGTAAGTGCCATAGTTGTAAAAGTTTGTGAAGCAATATGTAGAAATTTGCAATTAACATATTTACCCAAACCAACTACAGAAATATGAAAAAATCTGAAGAAAGCTTTACAAATATTTGGCAATTTCCAAATTGTATTGGTAGCATCGATGGCAAGCATATTACTGTAAAATGTCCAGACACAACTGGAGCTAATTACTGGTGTTATTTAAAAAAGTTTTCAATAGTATTGTTGGCTACTGTTGTTTGTGCCAATTGTAAATTTATTATGATTGATATTGGTGGTTTTGGTAAAAATAGTGATGGTGGAATTTTCGAAGTTTCCAACATGGGAAGAAGATATGAAACAAATTCAATGAATGTTCCTGAGCCAAAAAATCTTCCTGGACAAGATGAAGCTTCAACTGATATCATAATCGGAGACGAAGCATTAGCTCTAAAATCAAATTTGTTGAGGCCCTTTCCATACAGCCAAAGTAAAACAGATATTTTTAAGGAAAATTATAATGTACGGCTCTGTATAATCGAAATAAATAATTATAATGTATAATCGAAACAAAAGTTGACACTACTATTAAAATTGTGAAAACTGTATGTATCTTACATAATTTCCTAAGAACAAAAAAATGTGATGATGGATTTATCGAACTTTTAGAGCTATCAGAGCCTGAAGTTAGAGCGTTTCTAGATTTTGATAATGACCCAAGGAGAGCTACGAGACTAGCATTGTCGGTCCGAGACATATTTGCAAATTTTTTTAATTCAGGACTATGAATTAAAATTTTTATATTCTACTAAATGTAATAAAATTCAATATACATACCATTTTCGCCTATTTCTTTTCCAATTTTACTCCAAACCTTGCCTTGCGTGTTTGTCGTGTGTAGACAAACGAAAGTAAAGGAAGAGGAAGAAGACTAACTGTTCAACCGAGGCGTATTAAAGAGAGTCAAAATAAGCGCTTTAGATTACTGGCTCTGCGAGACCGTTTTGCTACTACCTATATCCATCAAATTGCTAACTAATGGTTTGTAGTAGTAGGTTGTTAGTATGCGTACACTATACCGTCTCATTCGAGCCTTTGTACTGGTTTCATTCCGCCCACGACTAGTGCTTCCTTTGACTGCGGACCAGTGTCATCAACGTTTAAATTAGTGCAGATAACGGCAACATTGGGTGGCAGAATGGTGTAATATAGCATTCAGCGATGAATCACGATTCTGTTTAGTACTGCATGGTGGTCACAGGATGGTAAGACGCCGCTGTGGAGAGCGATGAGATGTCGGGTTTGATATTGAGAGGCATGTACACAGGGCAGTTGAAGTAATGGCTATTGCCTATAATAGCTGTTCACCACTTTTGTGCTGTCCACTTTGCACCATCCTCCATAGACTCTGGCACAGTTAATACATGAAATTTAAGTTGCTTGAACCAAAGTGCCACAAGCAGACATCGATCATCTCATTTTGTCAATGCCTATACGTATACAGGAGTGTATCTAGCTACGGGGTCGCCAACCACATTATTATTTTTTTTTATTACTTGCCAATAAAAATTATTGACAGCGTTATCGGTTCATTCTTGATGTAAATTTACCATGTTGCCAAAAAATTAAGTTCAAGAAATTATTACTTCTAATGTTACTGAATATATTTTAGTTATAAATCAATCGGTGTTTCACTATTTTATCAATATCAATTTTATCCAACAAATATATCTTAATCAAAGTTGGTCATGTCTGAGGTAATAAAACAAAACAGTGATTATAAATAACATTTTATTTCGTATGTACATAGATCTATGATTTAATCTTAACAACTAAAACACTATTCATTTTAAAGTTAAAAAAATGAGATCAATCTCCAAAACAGTTCAGTCATAAGAATGCACTTTTAGACCACAAGGCGAATGTGTGGTAATTTTTAATTGTTTTTGATTTCACTAAACTAATATCACTGAAGAGGAAAAATCTAGTTGTGTCTAAGGCGAATAAGGTTTGTCAAAGGCACATGCCGGGATTCTGAACGCACCATTCTGGCCACAAGGCCTCAGCTCGGAGACCTCTTTTAACCAATCTGAAAAGAAAAATAGAATACAAGTAAAACCTAAAATTTTTTTCCAGATGTGTTGTTTATAATAAAAGCATAATCTTATCAACAGTTGAGTTTACCGAAAGTACAAGCTGAATATAGCCGCAAATGTCAACCATGAAATAAAATATTTCGGTTTGACAGTATTGTGGTGTTTTTACAATGGATATGTTGTATGCTTCAAATATAAAGGGAGAAAGCTTTTAAAAAGTGCATTTTGATTATACTATTTTATGAATTCAGCAATTTTTAATTTATATAAAACAATAACGAGTAAATATTTGTCTCTTTCGAGATTAATTGCAAACATCTGTTGCAATCTATAATACAATACAATACTATTTTATAAATTCAGCAATTTTAATTTATATGAAACAACAACGAGTACATATTTGTCTCTTACGAGATTAATTACTAACATCTGTTGCAATCTGGCAACTGCTGATTTGACGATTGCCAAATTTATCACCTAATCTATCAAAGGGCAACTGTCAAAAAAATTTCCAATAATTAACTGCAATTAATTCTCAAAGAAACTAATATTTACTCGTTCTTGTTTTATATAAGTCAAAAATTGCAGAACTCATAACAATATAATCAAAACGTACTTTTCTAAAGCTTTATCTCTTTATTAGAAGCATACAGCTTATACAATATAAAAACCTGCAAACACTGCTAATCCGAAATTTTTTGTTCCACATTTGACATTTGTAGCTATAATCAGCTTGTACTTTCGGTAAACTCAACCCTTGTCAACAAATTTATTTAAACACTTCCTGAATTCTGATTCTATAATTCTGATTCTATTTCCGAATGTATGATGCATTTGCACAAAAAAAATTATGGCCAATATTGTGGTGGTATTAACAAAATAAATAAATATATATATATATATATATATATATATATATATATATATATATATATATATATATATATATATAATAAGGATCACTCAGACGAGTGGTGGGTTCTTATATCGGTCTCAAGGTGGAGAAATACAAAGACAAAGTTGATAGGCTACTTTATCTATTTTGAAGACGTTTCGCTTTCGTATTCTGAAAACATCATCAGTTCATCTGAAAAGTACAATATGAGAACCACACAATCATGGAAAAGATTACAAGTTACAAGTGTTACCTTAAAAAGACATGTAGCAGTCAATAATATTAAAAAAGTATGTAAGTAAGCTCAAGAAAATGGACATTATACGGTAATATTGTATAAACAATCAATTAACTATTAACAATTAGCAACTTATTAAAAATTAGCACAGCAAAAGAACATGTGGTCTAATGTACATGTAATATTTTTTTATTATAACATTAAGTAGTGAATGAAGAACTAAGAACATCATAGATTCACTTCCAACTATATGTTTATGGTTTGCAATATTTATGGTTTGATTTTAACCTTTGGTAGCATTATTAAAGAAATTAGTATTCAAATTTAAAAAATTATCAATAAAAAGTTACCAATCAGACCCTCACCACTGCCGCCGGTAAAATGGCGTTAATTAAAATAGATAGCGCCAACAGCGTGAAAATACAGCCAACCTTGAGGTCTTAAAAACTAAGACAGAACTACAAGGTTGAAATACCAACCCAAATTTATAGGGCGGTATATTTGAAAATTCAAATGAGTTTGGGTAACAACCCGTCTGTAAGAGACAAAACAATGAAAGAAATTGGTATTGATAACATCAATTCCTTCCATCAACCAGTCTAGAACGAGCAAAAACATTCGAAAGTCATATATATATATATATATATATATATATATATATATATATATATATATATATATATATATATATATATATATACATATAAACAACCGTCAACGTTAGTTATAGCTGGATACTCAGCCACAGGTGATCAACGATAATGATTTCCAACAGTCCAAGGTTCAACCACTTGGAACTGTAATTTATGGGAGATTCTATGAATCAATTACATTATTTGTATTAATATTTATCATTAAACAATTCCCACTAAACTGTGTATAAGAAATAATGAAAGTAAATGCAATGTGAGTTGCATAAATATATGTGAATTAAGTAGAAAAATATATTGAAATTTTTATTTATGTTATCAATTTATTTTATTGTAATATGTTAATTATATTTTAAATTATTTAATAAACAAATGTGTTAAAAAAATACACCTTACTAGACAATTATATAGTAAATAGTTCGTTAAGCCTAATTCTGCAAAATTAAACATGATATATTTGGCTCAAGTTACTTGAGCTTGACTATACAAATATATCATGCTATAATTTTGCAGAATTAGGCTTAACAAACTATTTCCTATATAATTGTCTAGTAAGGTGTACTTTTTTAACACATTTGTTTATTAAATAATTTAAAATATAATTAACCTATTACAATAAAAATAAATTCATAACATAAATAAAATATTTCAATATATTTTTTTACTTAATTCACATATACTTATGCAACTCACATTGCATTTACTTTCATTATTTCTTATACACAGTTTAGTGTGAATTGTTTAATGATAAATAATAATACAAATATTGCAACTGATTCATAGAATCTCCCATAAATTACAGTTCCAAGTGATTGAACCTTGGACTGTTGGAAATTATTATCGTTGATCACCTGTGGCTGAGTATCCAGCTATAACCTATATCCCTATAAATTTGGGTTGGTATTTCAACCTTGTAGTTCTGTCTTAGATTTTAAGACCTCAAGGTTGGCTGTCTTTTCACGCTGTTGGAGCTATCTGTTTCAATTAACGCCATTTTACCGGCGGCAGTGGTGAGGCTCTGATTGGTAACTTCATTATACACTATAATTTTGTTAAATTTTAATACTAATTTCTTTAATATTGTTACCAAAGGTTAAAATCAAACCATAAATATTGCTCATATAGTTGGAAGTGAATCTATGATGTTCTGAGTTCTTCATTCACTACTTATTGTTGTAATTAAAAAAATATTACATGTACATTAGACCACATGTTCTTTTGCTGTGCTAATTTTTAATACGTTGCTAATTGTTAGTTAATTGATTGTTTATACAATATTACCGTATAATGTCCATTTACTTGAGCTTATTCACATACTTTTTTAATATCATTGACAGCTACATGTCTTTTTAAGGTAACACTTGTAACATCCTTTCCATGATTGTGTGGTTCTCATATTTTACTTTTCAGATGAACTGATGATGCTTTCAGAATACGAAAGCGAAACGTCTTCACAATAGATAAAGTAGCCTATCAACTTTGTCTTTTTATTGCTCCACCTTGAGACCGATATAAGAACCCACCACTCGTCTGAGGGATCCTTATTATATATTGAATTGACGGTCGCCTTTTCCGATATATATATATATATATATATATATATATATATATATATATATATATATATATATATATATACCGGTATTTAGGCGGCACTCCCTTCCGGTAGAGATCTATGGATGAGTATCACCGAGCCGCAAGCCCTTATCTCTTGCCGTACTGCTCCACCATAGATCGATCAGACACCAGCATGTTTTAGTCTAAGCCGCAGATTCATCTAAAATTTTAAACTGCTGCGTCAGCCTTTTTAATTTTCTGTACACCGACCTGGGGCTCGAACCCACATCCACTGAACTATTCGCAGTGAAGCGAATGAGAACCGGCCGCCCAGCCAGCTTGGCTATCTGACCGACACAACAAAATAATTACACCCTACTAATATTTATTCGATGAAATCCTATGTAATATTTTAGTTAAAAAAAAGTCTAGTAATACATTTTTAAAATACTGTCAACGCTATTTTAAAATATTAAACTTGTAATACTAAATCAGTAAACAAAGAAGTCATAAAGCCGCTGGTCCAGAGAATATACATATTGAAATGATTTAGGCACTAGATGACATTGGAGTGGATATATGTAATACATTAAATTTGTCAACGAGTGTGGGAGACAGGAAAAGGGCCTAAATATTGGACAAAATACCCAGTTTTGTCAGAAATGAGAGTCCTGCATCATCTGATACAGATAATTAAAAGCCTAACTGAAAGTTTTAGGGTCGCCAAGGTCGTGAAACAAGGCTGTATACTAAGCCTAATTTTAGTCACCATATATGGTGAATAAATAATGCGGAACGCTATTGGAGGCTAGAACGGTAGTGTCACTGTCGGCGTGAAGATCCTCAATCTAAGACATGCAGTTAATACAACCGTCATCGCTATCTCTGAAGTTTAATTGATTTACCTGCTACAAAGGATTGAGAAAATAAGCTTAACCCTTAAACGGCTAGCGTTACCATATCGTAACGGTAGACAACCTCATTTTAAAAGTGGCAACACAGCTTTTGGTTCCATCGGAATGCGTTGGTTATTTGTCAACACGCTTTTAGTATGTGAATGAACACATTGTTGGATACAACGTCAACGTAAAATCTTTTTGTCAGTTTTATTCAAATTTTAAAAATTGTGGTAACAGTTACGAGCTTCCAAAGATGGACATCCATCTAGAGTAAGTATTACTAAAACTTCTTTTTTGAATTGTTATAAAAAATACTTACAAAAGAGTATTTATAGATAGTTATTCTTCAGTTCTAGACCAAATTTTGTTATGAAAGTATTTCAAGTTCTATAATGTAACCTCAGAAATATTGGCGTTACCGTATGGTAACGCTAGCTGGTTTAGGGAGACAAAAAATATTGTACGTGTATAAATGTCTTGCGTGTTGACTATGTGGTATATATGCGATCAGAAAAGCTAGGACTCTTGTTTATGTATTAATAATTGTCTAGTATATTTATTTGTTACTTTTAGGCGTGGGTTTACGCTGGAAGAAGCATTGCAAATGGTTTATGAAGAAGAAATGAAATATTCATCGAGCCTCCTGATGCGAATGTCCTTACCGATGAGGATTCTGGTGATGAAGATGGTGGCGGATTTCTAGATAATTTAAGCGGTCGACAGTTGACACCAGGAGCTGAAATCGTCCCTCCTC